AATTCCCAGTTTGACATCTTTGTAAACGCATGTACCTGCTTTCTAAATCCTTTTCAAAAAAATCAGCACATTCAGAATAATGATGACCTCTATAAAGAAAAACTGAAGTGAAGTTGCTCAGTCATGTCTGACTCTTTGTGACCCCATGGACTGTAGCCTACCAGGCTCCTCCGTCCATGAGATTTCCCAGGCCAGAATACTGGAGTGGGTTGCCATTTCCTTCTCCAGGAGATCTTCCCCACCCAGGGGTTGAATGCAGGTCTCCCACATTGTAGGCAGACGCTTTACCATCTGACCCACCAGGGAAGTCCATCATGAAAAAAGGGTAATGCTATTGAGAGGAAGTCAGAAGTACTGGAATTATTTTCCTTCTTAAGCTAGGTGATATGTATCTTGACAGAGGATGAGATGGCTGGATGGCATCACCGACTCGATGGGCATGAGTCTGAGTGAACTCCGGGAATTTGGGATGGACAGGGAGGCCTGGCGTGCTGTGATTCATGGGGTCGCAAAGAGTCGGACACGACTGAGGGACTGAACTGAACTGAACTGATGTATCTTGATGTTGGCTTTTATTATTATTTGCTATAATTTATGGGCTTGCCTTGTGGCTCAGCTGGTGAAAAATCCACCTGCTATGCAGAAGACCTGGGTTCGATCCCTGGGTTGGGAAGATCCCCTGGAGAAAGGGAAGGCTACCCACTCCAGTATTCTGGCCTGCAGAATTCCATGGACTGTATTAGCGCATGGGGTCGCAAAGAGTTAGACACAACTAAGGCACTTTCACACACTCACGTATATATCTTACACCATCTGCTGTATGTATGAAATATTTCATAGTGAAAAAGGGAAAATAAGTCTAGTGTTTGCTTGTTCTACTATCACTCTGTATTTTTCCTCCAGTTTGATATGATATAAATCTATGGACATAAATCTCCCGGCCAGTTTGTGGAAACAACTATTGTGTGATTTAGCATTTATCCCCGCTCCCAGCCTACAGCCATTTCATTGATGAATCTGTGATATGAGATCAAATCAGAAGGATCCCCAGCAGAAATAGGAAAAAAAAAAAAAAGCTACTCACTGTTCACTGATTTAATTAACACAGTCCATTATCAAGAGGATTGGAAATATAATAAAGCTAAAAATGAAATCACATGGGGACTTCCCTGGAAGTCTAGTGGTTAAGACTCCGCGGTTCCAATGCAGAGGGTGTGGGTTCAATCCCTGGTCAGGGAACTAAGACCCCACATACTGTGCCACACAGCCAAGAATTAAATCATATGGTTGCTGCTAAAGAAGATTATTTTTTCAAAAGACACGTTTTCCCACTCTAAAAAGGCATGTTCTTTGCTGGCCTACCTTCACTTCAGCCTCCCCGACCCCCGTGTGGTGTAGGAATCTGATGGGTGCTCCCACAGCACAGGGCCTCGGTCATGTGTGGGGCTGTAACTGCCCATTTATGTCTCCCCTATTAAACTCGAACTTCACCGAGGAAAGGCCTCCTGTTCTTTTTCACCATTTAAACCCTTGCCCTTGGTATAGCACCTCGAGTGCTGGTGTCATACTGACTCAGTTCAAAGGTCAGCTAAGCTTCTCACTCCCTGGGTAAGCTTCTTAACCTCTCTGCCCTTTCATTTCCTCAACGATAAAACGGGTTAATAGAAGTATAAGCCCAGGTGTGTGTGTGCATGTATGCTAAGTTGCTTCAGTCATGTCCAACTCTTTGCAACCCTAAGGATCGTAGCCCGCCAGGCTCCTCTGTCCATGTGATTCTCCAGGCAAGAACACTGGAGTGGGTTGCCATGCCCTCCTCCAGGAGATCTTCCTGACCCAGAGATAGAACACAAGCCTCATTATATTTCCTGCACTGGCAGGTGGGTTTTTACCACCAGCACCACCAGGGAAGCCCCATAAACCCAGGATGAATGAAACAACACATCCAAGTTAGTTAACACAGGGTCTGTACAAAATAAGCTAAATAAATATAATAACTAAAAAAATAAATATAATAACTGTTTACGATGACCATTTGGTGATAAAGAGGAAACTGAGTTGACAGAGAAGAAAGACTAGCTCTTATAATATGATTCTTAGTGATTCAAATTCATAGATGATGTTCAGAAAATATTTGGAAATGGAGTCAGGAATTCAAGCTTTAGAACAGGAGCTGAGAAGGTGTGGTGCCTTGGGGCAATGCTATAGCTCTGCCTGCTCAAGTGTCAGGGTTGGTAGGGGGCCAACTGGGTCTCAGGGCTTAGACAGATGGAGGGTACCATCCAGAAGTGGAACTAATATTGCTGGACATTTAGTAAATGTTATTTGAGTCCCAACTATGGTGCAAGGAATTTGGCTAGGTGAGGGGAAGCAGTGCAATTGTAAATGCTTTGGTGTGACAGACTACGACACACAAACAATTTATTACAAGCTTCAGCACTTACTAAAAGGTATTGAGTATAAAAATAATTAACATTGAAGAGGATTAGAAGTAAATGAAAATCACGTTTGTGAAAGTGGGATGGTTTAAAGAAATTGAAAGTGGTATATCAAATATAGGCATTTACGGCGACGCATTTTTTAAAGGCTTTTGATGTGAACCATTTTTAAAGTATTGAATTTGTTACAATACTGCTTCTGTTTTATGTTTTGGTTTTTTGGCTGCAAGGCATGTGGGATCTTAGCTCCCTGACCAGGAATGGAACCTGTACGCCCTGCACTGGAAAGGAAAGTCTTAATCACTGGACCACCAGGGAAGTCCCGGCAATGCATTTTATGAGCAGTTCATACTAATAGTAATATGAAGATATCTAGAACTTTTAATTTGTTATTTTAAAAAGTCAAAAAATAGTGGGTGATTGGTATATGTTCTCAGGATGTTAAGTTGCTCGATCATGTCCGACTCTTTGCAACCCCACTGACTGTAGCCTGCCAGGCTCCTCTGGCAGTGAAATTTTCCAGGCAAGAATACTGGAGTGGGTTGCCATTCCCTTCACCAGAGGATCTTCCCAACACAGGGATTGAACCTGGGCCTCGTGCATTGCAGGCAGATTCTTTACCATCTGAGCCACCAAGGAACAAAACCTAGTAAGCAGCACTTCAGATTTAAAGAAACTGAGTCATAAAGTAATCCATATTACAAAGTTATATTTCCTGGGGACTAACACTTGAAAAAATTTGAAATTGATTATATAGACCTACCCAAGCTTGGGCTCACCAATTTCCTATTGAAGTTTTTCAATAGAATGTGAATGCGCCTTATTACATGTCGACCAGAAATTCACTGTTTCTTGAGAAACTTCTCAGAAACAAAAGACTTCAAAAGATTGGACTCTAACAACATCTGTTATCATTTTCTCCATTCTTTTTTGTTAGTGATCAGCCATTCTTTGTCAGCATTCAAGACAGGACAGATTCAAAGAATTCTGGAAACTCCTCAATTGCTATTTTAATGATAGATATCAGGTAGGCCAATAATCTTTACTGATAAGGTTAGAGAGATCGAAGCAACTTAATTAACATCATTTTTTTTCTAGTTAAAGGCAGGTCTAGAAAAGAACCCAAGTCTCCCAAGTATCCGGGAAAGATATAAATATCAGTAATAATGTGAAAATGACTAAGAATTGGAAAGAAAGTGAAGTCGCTCAGTCATGTCCGACTCTTTGCAACCCCGTGGATTGTAGCCTGCCAGGCTCCTCTGTCCATGGGATTCTCCAGGCAAGAATACTGGAGTGGGTTGCCTTTTTCTTTTCCAGGGGATCTTCCCAACTCAGGGAAGGAACCTGGGTCTCCCGCCTTGCATGCAGACTCTTTACTGCCTGATTCCCTGGTGGCTCAGAATCTGAAGATGACATTAAATTTCTTAGACCTTTCACAACACGTTGAGCAGACAGGAAATACCACCCAGAAGACATTACAGAAATTTCCTCATAGATTCTCTGTTAATTTTGCTAGCCAGCGTTACTCTAAGGCTGCCCACGGGCTGTCCCAGTATTTCAGTATTCAGGCCAGAGAGAAAATTGACCCTGAGGTTTACTCAAAGAGACAAAGGCCCGGAAACCTCCATTCAGAGGCCTAGACTTGAAAATCACTAGTAGCGAGTACTCTTGGCTTGGTTTAAACCACATTACACCTCAGCATTAATAAACCCCTGACCTTTTTCCCTATGGTACTTCTGCTGATACTCCATTTCTTTCTATAACGATCGCATTTAAAGTTATCTGTGAACCACTCTGCAGTGAGTGGCATCAGGAACAAACATGTTGAGCATTCCACAACGGTCCGAACGATAAGAAACACCTTCCCAGAAGGAAGATAAGGGGTGCACTGGAAGAGGTGTTCTGCGGGACCCCTGACCCGAGATCCTCCTGGATACAACGACATCCTGGTTAATTTGCTTCATGCTTCTAAAAGGCCGCTCTGGATACTCATTCCAAGCCAAATCACACCTGTGCCGGGTGTCCAGCTCGTTCCTCTCTGCTATTTTAAAGCGAAAAGGACAATCATTCGGAGGCAAAGTTATTTTTAAAAAGAAGAAACAGCCGTCTGAAAGTTTTCAAGGAAAGAAACACTAAGACGCGACAAACTTGTGACCGTCACTCTCAAATTCTCACACGACACGCACTCAATGCATGGCGCCCGGAAATGGAAATAACCCCCTTCAGCCCGGGTCAGGCCGGGGCTCCCGGACCCGCTGGACAGGAGAGGGTGCACCGGATCCCCGTCTGACCTTGGAGCAGTTTTCTGGGCAGGAAATCAGTCAAATCTGACGAAACCCAACTCTGGGAAGGCGAGCCTCAGCCCCAAACCCCGCGGAGCTGGGTCAAGGGCAGGGGTCGGCGGAGGGGACCGCCCTCCAGGGCCCAGCGGAGCCGCGCGTTCAGCGGCCCGGCCTTGGGTACGACTCCGGGTCGGGAGACATCCCGGGGCGGGGAGTCGGGGGCCGGAGGCGGCCCGGGTGCCGCTGCCAGGGCCCCCGGGGCAGGCGGGCCGGCGCCACTTACCTCGACGGCTGCTCCGGGCGCGCGGACACTCGGCGGAGACTCGTGCGCGGGGCAGCTTCGGGGCGGCGGCCGGGAGGCTTCAGGGAGCGCGGGCTGCGCCCCGGCTCGGCTCGGCGGCTCGGGAGGAAGTGGTGTCAGCCCGGCCCGGCCCTCGCGGCGCGCAGACGTGGGGCGCTCGGCGCGCGGCTCCGCATGGAGGTGCGAGGAGGGCGCCTGGTGGGAGACACACCCACGGGCGCGGATACAGACGCCTGAAGCCCCGGGCTGCTTTTTCCGACTCGACGGCTCTGTGCCTCCGCGCATCTCCCCCTCCCCCTCCCCACCTCCCACGGCCCACCTCCCCCTTCCTCCTTCCCTCCCTCCTCCTCTCTCCCCCCTCCCTAAAGAAGACCACAACTTGGGTTGAATGCGGGGGAGAGGTGCGCCTTCCTCTCACCCTCCCCTACCTGCGTCGCGGGCCCTCCTGTCTCGGAGGCGTCCTCTGGATTGTCACCTCGATGTATCTATCACCGGCCAAGGGATTGGGGCCCAAACGGCAGTTCCACCAAAGCCCGAGAAGCCGGTTTCTTTTGCAGCGGTGTTCGTAAGTGTCGACTTCAGCCCTTTTGGGGCTTCCTCTTTTCGGGCCGGTTGTGCAAGGCCCTACTTGCAGGCCGCGCGCCGCCCGCGGTTGGGCGGTCTCCGTGGTAGAGCTGGGGCGGGGAACGTTGCACTCCGCAGGGGCAGTTCCTTGATTATCGGGTTGGCAACACCCTAAAGACTAATGACACTCAGCTGGCGGGCGAGGCTGTGTCCTCTCCCATATAGCTGGTGGAAATCCAAAATAGCCAAAACCTTGTGCACGGGGATTCGGCCACAGATTTAACTTACATCTGCAGTGACCCTTTGACCCAGCGATCTAAGATCTAAGATCATTGGAAAAGACCCTGATGCTGGGAGGGAATGGGGGCAGGAGGAGAAGGGGACGGCAGAAGATGAGATGGCTGGATGGCATCACTGACTGGATGGACAAGAGTTTGAGTAAACTATGGGAGTTTGTTAGGGACAGGGAGGCCTGGCGTGCTGCGATTCATGGGGTCGCAAAGAGCAACTGAACTGAACTGGGAAGAACCCGGTGACTTTTGGAAGTGGAATCTCCAGAGGGAAAGTGGGTGAAATCTGAAAACACAACAGTTCAAGCCAGATTTGGAAATGTGGTTGAAGTCACGTCCTCTGTCGTTCTACAGCTGGATCTGTAGGGAAGGTGGTGGAGACCATCATGGCATAAATTAGACCCATAAATTCATTAGGTAATTTCAGATAGTTCAGCCATTGAATACTTAATAAGAAACTGTTTACCACCTACCCTTCTAAGAACAAGCAAAACAGTAGTGATGAGAGTAATTCCTGCTCTCAAGGTAGGTACATTCTAGTTGGGAGAAAACAGACAATATACAAGTTAATATTTAACATGTCAAGTAATGTCAGTATTTTGACAGCAATTAAAAGGGGAGGAATAGAGTGATGGGAGTGGGGATAGAGGTGCTGTATTAGTTAGCATCATCAAGGAAGATCTAGCTAAGTGACACTTCAGCCAGACCTAAATGGATGAGAGAGCAATCCATGTGGATTTTTGGATGAGAATATTCCAAGCAAAAGGAGAAGCCTTGGGTTAGGAGGGCACTCAAGATGTTAGAAAAACAGCAAGGAAGGGACTCTTCTGGTCTAGTAGGGATCTTGCTTTGAGTGATGGGCAGACCGTGGGAGGTTCTGAACAGTCACAGTACTGTGTAAAGAGGCGGAGTGGAGCAGCAGAGTGACTTTCATGGCAAAAGAGGTTAAGGAACACCTCTGCAAAATAATGGAAAGGGGCAGCCATTCAGCAACTTGGAAAAGCATTCATAGAGAAGAAGGAGCAAGAAAAGGTCTTGAGGTAGGAACGGAGAAGGTTAAAAAGGTAGTGTAACTAGAATATGGCGAAAGAGTCAGGCAGTGGTAGAGGCTGGGGACGGAGAGGTAGGCAGGCTCCAGACCAAGCAGGACCTGGGAGTCAGCCTTGAGGACTTTGGGTTTTATTCTAATATTGGAAGATCAGTCAGACAGGACAAGAGGAAAAGCAGTAAGAGAACATTTAGGAGGCTGCGGGGACCATCCAGATGAAGGATGATGGTAGCTTTGATCAGGATTCAAACAGTGGGGATGATGAGAAGAGTTTGGATCCAAGATACATTATGAAATCAGAACCAGCAGCATTGCTAATGGGCTGGGTTTGGGGTGGGAGAGGGGCAGAAGGGATTAAAAATTAAGTGTAAACCAGTGAGACTGGCATCCCGGGAGCTCTGGTGTGAGGCAGGGCTACTGGAGAAAGGCCAGTAGGAAAAGCCGGGTAGGACCACGTGGACCATGTCCAGGATTGTTTCCTCGTTCTAAAAGCAATGAGACTGTGTAAAATAATATCTGAAGCCTCTATTTTCTTTGTAAAGTAAAAAAAAGAAGTAGGGTTATCTGCTGGGGGAGGGGAGAGCTAGGAGGTTATCAGGTCATAGATTTAGGGAGCTAGAGAAAGTTTAACAAGGGCATTGCAAAGAATCAGAGAGTGAGTTGCTCAGAAGAATGTAATGGGATTTCCAGGCAGCCTGAGAGTCTGAAACTGGTGATGGTGGCAGAAGCAGTCTGCTCACTCATGTGGCCCTCCTGCAGAGCTGGTTACCTAGGTTTGGAGAACATTTAGCTGTAATAGTGAAGTGAAGTGAAGTCTCTCAGTTGTGTCCGACTCTTTGTGACCCCATGGACTGTAGTCTACCAGGATCCTCCCATGGGATTTTCCAGGCAAGAGCACTGGACTGGGTTGCCATTTCCTTCTCCAGAGGATCTTCCCCATCCAGGGATTGAACCAGGGTCTCCCGCATTGTAGGCAGACGCTTTACCGTCTGAGCCACCGGGGAAGTCCTTTAGCTGCAATGGGAGTGGCCAAAACAAGCCAGCTGGAAGGATGGGTCATTGTGGTCAGAAGTGAGGCCGTTTGAAGTTTGCCTCTGGAGGCAGTGAGATTATGGATGCTGACAATGTCCAGGGTGTGACCAAGGGCCTGAGTGTCTGAGATGGTCAAGGAAGTAAGAGCCCAAAAAGTAGCAAACTGTTAAGTCACCCAGGGTTAGGGTGGTCACATGGAACTGTTGAGACTGGGACACTTTTGAGGGGACCAGAGTGCCAATTGGATGAGAAATCAGGAAACAGGTGTAATGCATGACTCTTTTGGACAAACAGAATGATACGATTTAAGGTCATCTTAAAGGAAGATTGGGAATTAAGTGTCAGGGTTCTGAAGTGAGAGAGCAAGAGTGATTGGAATTTGGGGAGATGGCAGTTCTGAAGAGGTAAACGGAATAGTTTACCCAAATGGGTAAACTCAAGAGAAACATGTATTTGCTTTTTGTATTATTTTAAATAAAAAGTTGAGCCAATAGAATGTCTGCAGGTAGCAGTGGGGAGCACAGAGAACAGCAAACTCACCCTATGAACCTAAGGTACATGGAGCGTGAGAGAATAGACCACTTACCATTGAGAAAGTTGCAGTGGAAAGTCTGCAAGGGCAGAGTTAATGCCCCAGTAAAGGAACGCTCCAGAAATAGCTTCAGGACACAGGAGTGGCAGGGACTGAGTTTGAGAGATGGGGAAGAGAATGCCTGCTGGAATTACAAGAAGGAAGAACTGATTATCCTGGTACGATGGGGTGGAAGAAAATTCCCCGGGTAGCTTCCTGTTTGGGGAGGGCCTCCCTGGAATATCTCTGCAGAAGCTGGCTCGTGGATAGAGAATGCAGGGGAGTTCAGTTTCACTGAACTGGATTTTCACTGTGTTTCTTACAACCTCGGTCTTTGGGCACATCCACCAAGTCCAGCTTGTGTTTTGGCTCATTTCCTTCCAACTAAAGGGCACTTTCATCTTCTGGCAAGGGAACTGGGTTGTCTTGAGGTAAGAATCCTGCTACCCTTTTTTTTTCCTCCAGTGGAGAGGGATTTTTTTTTTCTTTTGGTTTAGCATTTTGTATAGTTTTACCCGTTTATTTTATTTGGCTTGCCCTTAAACATAGGAATGTTTGTTTCTGATATAAGTGTCTAACTTTCATGCCCCCTGCAGCGGACTGTATTTTCCAGAGATGGCCACAACCATCTCTCTTGTTCCCCATGAAGTGGTGGAATCCATTTCTTTCCCTCCTCCTTGAATCCAGGCAGGTGCTGTGACTGTTCTGACAGATAGAGGACAGCAGAAGTGGTGGGCTTAGCCCTTCACTGGCTCTTTCAGCCCGCAGGGGGGTGAGGCCAAGTGGAGAAACTCGGAGGCATCAGGGAAGAGGTGAAGGCACCCAGCCCCCTTATCTAAATAAAGCTGCAGGAGAGAGACCAGGGTGGAAAAAACCACCCAGCTAAGTTCAATCAACCCACAGATCCCTGAGAGATAATGGTGAACAACTGTGTGAACCTCTGGATTTCAGCGTGTTCACAGCCAGAGATGCTCAGGATATCATCTTGGCTATCTGCTTCTCCTTTTTCTGTCCTGGTAAAGGTGTACTTACAAATTGGTAGTTAAAAAAAGATAACCCTGCTCATGATTTCTATTTTAACTATAACATGTAGGTGTAATTAGGATGCTATTTCTAGGGCTTCCCAGGTGGGGCTAATGGTGTAAAAAAAAAAAGCCCACCTGCCAAAGCAGGAGATATAAGTAACTCAGGTTCGATCCCTGGGTTGGGAAGATTCCTTGGAGGAGGGCATGGCAACCCACTCCAGTATTCTTGCCTGGAGAATCCCAAGGACGGAGGATGGGTTTTTTTTAAATAAAAATTTTAGTCGCACTCTGTGGCATATGGGCCCTTAGTTTCCTGACCAGGGATCAAACCCATGCTCCCTGTAGTGGAGTCTTAATCCTTGGACTGCTAGGGAAGTCCGTATATGTTTTATATATAGTATATATCTTTCCTCTTGCTTGTTAATAAAACCCTCCCTCTGCCTGACCACTTAGTCCTCTGACCTTTGTTCACCTCCTTCAGCCAGCCCTTTCCTGCTCCACACCCTGGGGCTAATT